CGCTCTCCCGCGCGGACATTCACACTCGCCATGCGCGAGCCGTCTGTGCTCTCCGCGCGTATGTTCACTCTCGGCACTACTCTCGCACAGTAGAGAGCCATGGTCGAGGAATTCCTCGACCGTTATTCACCCTGCCTCTAAGGGGCACTGCCCTCCATGCGCTTATCGCAATGAAGTAATGGCCCTAATTGCCTAGCAGGGCTACTCGTGAAGCTCCGCGCCCATCTTGTCGCCGTCAGGCTATAGCTGTTTATGCTGAGGAAGCGACAGCCTTGAGGAGGGCAGCATCAATGACACTCAAATCAGTGCCGAAATCAACGAGCAAAGAAATCATTTCTTTGTTCTGAGCCGTTTCTCATGGTTTTTTCTTAACCATCACCACTGACCACCTCTAGGCCTTCGATCGACAATGCTCATTCGCACTTCAGAGCAACACCCTGGACCAAGTTGGTGGGATAACAGCACTCAATAACGGAAGTGGGGTGAGGACTGAAGAAGGCGAAGAAGCAAAATAAACTAGAGGTGAAGGTCTAGGACAACCTCTCCTCCCCCTTGGGATGAGGAAACGGCAGGTTTTTTTAGAAGAGTTTATAGCTGTATCACAGCTGTATCAGTGTGATGCGGCTATTTTCGCCGAGGGTTAGATAGTGAGCGATGAATCTCGTCTATCTGCCTATTTTGTAAGCCTCTCGCTGCCTTCTCGCATACATTAAAGGCAAACTCCGGGATTAAACAGGTGCTATCAGCGCTTTGTGGTGATAGCTTAGCTGCGGAACGACCTGAAAGTGGAAAGAAATCCTTGGGAACGCTGCAATTAAGGCCTTAACTTCGCGACGGTGCCATTCTGTGATCCCCGGGTACCCGACAGGAGGCCCGTCGCGCGGCGAGAAGGCAGAGACGCAGACGGGTCAGCGGACGAGTCGCAGCGCGTGCTGTGTGATGTGGGACGTACTATGTACATTCTATTAACTTGACGCGAAATCACTACAGTACGCGCTGCGACTCGTCCGCTGACCCTCTGCGTCCACCTGCCTTCTCGCCGCGCGACGAGCCTTCCGTCGGGTACCCCTCGTCAACAGCTCCATTCTTCTCAAAGGCTACATTCATTCACGTCAACTCATCCTGGTTGTTGCTTTGAGCCATTTACGAAGACAGAAAAGACTGCGCCCCGCAGTGAGTCACACAGCTAGTGCAAAGAACGCTTTCTGTGAGGACTGAATTTTGAAACTGTTCCCTGAATTCACCAAACGTGCTAAGTAGATGGTTCGATTCAACGGCACCTTTTACATCACAAGCTTCGCGTTGTGCACCAGGTGGTCGTGAACCAATATCACCTTGTTTAAAGGGCATTAGGTTGGCAATTCCAATTACTACTATTGAATGGGCAAAAAACGTTTTGAATGATTCAGTATGAATATTTCCTCATTAAAGAGCCTTTGCTTGAATTGCACAGCGTTCTGTGTTCCGGCACAATTCGATCCCTCCTACGCTTTCCTCACAAGGAGATAGCTTCTCAGTCAACACACGCTTCAGAAAGCAAAGTGTTTTACCTAAATTTCGAACTTTGTGAGGCTAAAAGGTTTATTGTAGAACCAAAAAGCAAAAAGTATCACACGGCCCAGCTTTTTCTTAACTGCAGCATGCTGGTGGCTGCGCTCTCTCCAGCCATTGTGCTCTCGCCTGTTCTCTCTTCTTCACGCTCGTTCTCTCACGCCTTCAAGAGTGTGTAAGACTCCAACTTTAAGGTTTCCATGGGATCCTTTCTTTTACCGCGGGCCCTTTGTGCACCAGAGCTTCCATTTTTGTGTGCAAAGAAACACACCGTCAATCCCGAGCCGTTAACACTGCGACAGCGCACCCACTTTGTAAGCTTCGTGGGACATTGTGGAGTCGTTGCGCGTCACACCACGTCATCCCCTTGACGTACTTGCGCGACGTCTTTCCTAGTTCTTTTTTGTATCTTATAGATATCATTACCACGATGAAATTACGAACTACGTGGAGTGGTCGAAGACCGATCAGAATCCCAACGTTTCCATTTAGGAAAGCTACATTAGGAAATTTTGGAACAAGTGAACGAAAATATATGTTCAAGGGGAGGATTGTATGCTCTCTGCAATACTAGAGATGGAAAATGGACGCTTGTCTGACACGTTAATCGCGCACTGCTTATGAGCATGCTTCTGAGAAACCATTTCTATGTACTCCTGACCACGAAGGTCTCTCAGGGTGTGCTCGCTTTTTCAAAACGATTTCTGTTGTATTATATAGGTACGTGTCCATGGTCCATCGTACTAGGCCTCATTTTTCTGAAGGGCAAGAAATGGATGGAGGCCACATCACGTGGAATCAGGTGAAATTCTTCTACTGCTCCTTCAAGATGACATAAGCTTGAAAATTGTTTTTTTGTGCGAACCACCATTTGTGTATTCTCCGCTCAAAATCCATGGATACGTGATGAGACGGCGCGCTCGCGAAATCGCTCCCATCCTACGCGGTTTTTTTAAACGACAATTGCCAAGACGCGCATGTCGTCACGCTATTAAACACGAAATTATCTAAACATTGCACCTCTTCATTAGCGCATGAAATTGTAAGCGCGACAACTTTGGTACACGGGAGGCATCGGCAGTCAGATGCAGCGCTCTGGCGGCCTTCATATGATAGAGGGATGAACCAATTACGAAAATCCAGCGGTTGGTGATCCGGACGAGTTGTCTGGCAAAAACATAGAGCAGCGAGGTTACAAGGGCTTCTGTCAACCAGGGGGTGAGAGTGTAGAAGGAAAAGCAGACGTTCTTTGTGGTAGTGGGACTAAGCCTTTTGAAGGAGGTAAAGAAAGCGGAGATTCTGTAATAGTGCGCTTGTGTGAGAGCTCCCAGACAGCACAACAAAACGCTGAATTGCCTAGCCTCACGGTTGACAGATGTCCGGAGACCGAGGAGCGAGGGTGACTATTGCGATCAATACATCCGAATCCAAAGGGCGGCGCCTTACGAGTTAGAATAGTATGTAATTCCGTTCTACGGCACATCAGAGAGAGACTCTAATATTTATCACCCACGCAGCAATAACAGAATAATGAAGATATAATATAGAGCGCGATGGGAGCGGGTATAGGTTCAGTCTGGCGGTCGTGGTGACTTCTCCTTAAATGCCCTCTTCTGGGCTCCTCCTCCTTGACCGTACGATTGCTCTCACCGTCTCGTCTCTCCATGTCGTTCCTGCAAGCTTACAACTTAGCTGTGGACTGTGCGATGACTCACCCCTCGTTCTCCTTGACCACTTACCCGGTGGAGCTTGGCTCTTACATACGACAGCCTCTCTTCATCAATTCTTCAGCAGTAGAAACTTTCGGCTATGGATTCAATGAGATGGCGTAGTGAACCACATGACGCGATTTAATGGACAGTTCAATAGCGGAATGTTTAGAGGAATTCGTTGCCAATCATAAAACAGAGTTTATCACTGATTAATTCTTTTCAAGGGTGAGAAAAAACTGAGATGGGTATAGGTGCCGGGTTGACTGATTTTTATCGAGTGAACCTCCCTTATCTCGGTTCCGAAGTTCCAGCTATTCACAATGAAGCGAGTAAGAATTTTGTCGAATAACTTCTTTCGAATCGTGGAATTTGGGGAAACATGGAATTTTGAGAAATTTCATAACTCAATACATGTTTCAGACTGCAGCAAGACGTTGAAAATGGACTACAGGCTTAGATTAATTATAGAATTTATATGTGGCCTTGCGATAATGGTCAATGTTGCACTGCTTTATATCATAAACAGATGTCCAGATAAGAGTCTATCTATTTCAAAACAATTTTTTACTGCTGATGCTGGACAAAATTTACTGTCATCCTTTTGTTTTTTGCTAATAGTACCGGTGAGTTTTTATTCGTGGAACGTGCACGATGGTTAGAGCCGCCGCTTGTTCCTCAATGGAATGGCTAGTTTTCAACCCAGTTATGAGCTCGTACAGGTTGAGTAATTTTCAATTCGTAAACAGGGCCAAAATGTGGGCGTTCAAATTTGGTCAAGAAAATATCGCATGTCTCTGAAGACAAGAAATTATTCCAGTCTCGAGTTTTATATTTATTAGCCCACTGGCGACCGCCGGTGAATATGTTCAGCACCTTTATTCATATTTTTCCATCAATAGTCGTTCACCCTCCAAAAATTTTATCATTATTAATGGCTACATTTTTACTCGAACTCGATAAGTGCTCCTTTTCAACACAAAAAAGACAAATAAAACAAGCAAAACGAGTCCATTTTGTGTGAAAGGTGGCCCTTCGGCGGGCCACGCTATCGCCTTTAGGTAACAGGCAAAGTTGAACTCAATTCGGAAAGGGGAGAAGAGGTCGGGCAGAACACAATAAAGCGACGCGACCAGAAATTTACGTTTTTCCTGCTCGTTCGTTCATTTGTGGTGTGTGTTTGCTGCACTCGACGCTTTTCTGCGTTCCACTGAAAAATATGAGGATAAATGTACACATTATATTACCGGTCAGTTACATGATCCAAACGTTTCATAAGAAGATAGAAATGTGCAACAAATCAGGATACCACAGTTCCAGAAGTTAGACGATCATTTGTAGCAAAATTTCAGTAAAACTCTTCGCGATTTGATGAAGTTTGTGCATCATCAAAGATTGCGCGAAAAATTATTGGAGTCGGCGGGTGGTTGTGTTTTAATAAGTGAAATCCATCGGTGCGGAGAGTCTGGAAAGATACGGAGATGAGAATCCACCTTTTGGTGCAGAGAGTTGGTCGCGACAACCTTTTTTTGACAGGGGTTAGCGTGTAGCGGGAACGTCTCAGGAGGGCATCGAAAGGAATGCGCGAGGAAAATTAATCTGCACGAACATGGTGCTAAAAAAGAGTTCGGGTTTTCTGCCTCACCATCAGTGGCAAATCTTTTGCTAAAACTTAAAGGACGAATTAGCGATGAAAAACCAACCCATTTTTAGGAACGTAACTATGGGGTACACGACGAAGGAAGAAGCCTATGAGAAACGGGCCCAGAACCCAGGGAATGCGTACCTTTCTTTGCCTGGGCACGGTTCATTTGAGGCACTTGAGATTGCGAGGGTGCTATCGCATGTTGCCTCTTTCAAACGCTCTTCAGTATTCTAATCAGCTCGCATTATGTTGAAACGGCGAGTGATCAGATGATCGGTGGGCGGAGATCGCCGGACCCGCTAAGCTTTGAGGCATGATAGGTCGCCGAGGTCAAATTTTTCCATGCGAATTGCGCGTCAGTTCGCACCCTCAAAAGGTCCGTGGGTCCCTCAACTAGGTCAGTACTTCTTCTTCGACCTTCTTCTAATCGTGAATTCCTCGCTTTAATGGCCTTTTCCACTAGGAAGGGCATGTGATTTATGTCGAACCTTTTGCGAGGAGGCTTAGCTTCAGGGTTGTGTAAGAGTGGAGAGAAATAGTAAGCGCACTCTGGAAACTGGAATTATTGAAATTTGTTACGACTTGTCGTGCCACATAGTGTCCACCACCCTCCTTACTGGAATAGATCCAAAATCGCCAAGCGGGGAAATCTTATATCTGGAACTGGGCCACTGAAAGCAACCGTCTTGATAAGCGCAGTGATATACGCTACATATTTCTAGATTGCACTTTCAAAGCATTTCTCCTTGGTGTATATAACAACTGGGCTGCTTTCTGAAACCGAGGCAGCACTGCCGCTATTATTACTGCTGAGTATTTCTTTTGCTTCTTCTTTGACTTTAGCTGTGAACAGCTTCATCTACAAATATGTCCAGTTGTGCAGGTGGGTCAAACTTCAAATAAGGTGTGCCAAAGATAATCAACATTTCAATATATCATCTCTGTGAAGTATTACTTAGGCGTAGGTTAGTGCATGCAGATTGAGGCGCAGTACAATAACGAAGTCATCGCGTGCGTATGACATCACGATAACTCGTTCACGCTACAGTACTAGAGGATTGGCCGCGTGCTCTAGACCCAGTCCCAGTAGACCCAGTCAGCTGCGCCTTTGAACAACGGCCCTCTGAAGTAAAAATCTCGATCCAGGAAAAATCAAGAAGATTCTGAAAGGGGCCGTGTGAATTACAGGGAGGAGTCCACTATTCAACAAGAAATGCAGTCTTCAGCGTCAAATTCATAAGCATGTAACCTTTAAAGTTGAGATACGCTAAACAATTTTACACTTTTGGAAAGAGAAAAGCACGAGGATTCCGAATCTGCTCCTACTTTAGTACATAATCGCCCCTGAAAGGAGCTATAGTCGTTGAAATAGTGCCAATGCAGCGAAAAAGTACCTTTCGGCGGTACTCGGGCAAAAATCCTCAACGTGGCCATTTTTAAATACTGAACGTTTTGAGCAGCTCTAGTAACCGTTAAATAGAGCAAATCTTTCGTACAGCGCGTCAGTTCGCACCCTCAGGAGGTCCGTGGGTCCCTCAACTAGGTCAGTTTCCCTTTCTTCGACCTTCATTCTAATCGTGAATTCCTCCTTTAAAAATGAATGCAAAGCGTATAATGAATGCTATACCGCGTTGAAAGGAAATAACGGAAAGATTTATAAAAATCATCCAATGAAACCATCGTCTGTACTACCTGTCATCGTTGACGTCATGTGCTATCGAGCGGACGCCCACACGTCTCACTTCCCCCAGTACTGCGTCTACGAGCAGTCCAAATGGAAACCTCTCTCGTGGACACGGCATCATATCCTTTCGTTCAGAGCTTTCGTGAAGAAGTCTGACCATCGGGCCGGCGGTCGTCCAGGTGTTCGTTTGACGTCCCGAGGGATCCAGTCGGTAACCGCTCTGGTCCAACGGTCATCGCAAAATCGCATGACGTGTCCGGCCCACCTTATCTTCGATTCCTTGGCGAAAACGGCAGCGTCCCTGATCTTCGATCGTTGGCGTAGTTCCGAACTCCGGCGATTCTTGGATAGACCTCCAAGTAGATAACCACGCTATCCCAAAGCAGAACAAGGGGCTTTGTTTTTGGAATCTGGATCGCTTCTAATGCACTTCCCAGTCACTTGAATACAAGCTTTTGACTATGCGACATGCAGGATATCAACCGTTCACAAACTAATGCGCTTCTCGCACTCAAGCATGTATTTATTACACAGAAAATAAAAGAAACCAGAAATGGGAGCTCATTTCCTGACTGACGTCGCAGTGCAAGTCATGGTGGGCTTTGTTTGTGCTTTCACTCTATGATTCGCCACGGGGGTCGCGCCACATAGCCTCGCCACGGACTAGCTAGAGGGAAGAAGAGAGATCTCTTTCACTGAGAGAGGACCCTAAGTGAAGGAGATCCGTGGAATGAAGCCCATGAACACCTTAAAATCCCTCTCGAAATGAAAGAAGGACGTATTAGGAACGATAGCCTACACTTCTTTCCAACCCCCATCCCGCATTATGGATCGCCGCACGCGTAAAGCGATGTCAGACTTTGCGAATCCCGATTAGTAGCTGCGTTGCGTGCGATCGCGCTAGTGATCACCCATGATAGTACCAACGCGACACGGGCGCATAGCGAATCGTAGTAAAGCATCTGCCGAAATTCGCAAAGATACTAACACTGGAACATAACACATTGGTAATGCAGGTTAAGTCGAGCGGTAATTTCATGAGACTTCATCATTAATCTCGTTACGCTCTTCTTGTAAGAGCACTACCATATGTGTAACTATAGCAGCCGCTGACGACGCGGCACTGGTTTGTACTCGGTTGAACTATCTATCTAATACAAGAGAATTTACTACAATAAATTCATCTGGGTTGATTCCTCGATAGAATTAAGCGCAATATATGCAAATCAGATTCCAAGTTAAACCGAAAGACATACGTCTCTAGTATAAGCTGTCGATAATTCAGTTGCACTATCGACAAAGCAAAAACATTTATTGCGATGGAATCTACTTAATGACAATTGCGCCGGTAGCATGGAAAACACAGCGTGCTCTAGGAATTACCGACAGACTGCGAAACAACCTGTAAGATCATGGCCTCCTTTGCATGGCAAGAACTCTCTTTGAACAAGATTCTGCGATTCTAATTCAATTAAGAAGTTATTAGTCATACAATATGACTAAATAGATCGTCAGGGAATGAAGATCGGGACCAGACGCAGATGTACTCGGAGCTGATAACGGGTGCCAAGTTAATACCAGTAAAATATGCATCACTGCGATGCTTCCATGGATTATCTGGAAAGAATAGATGAGTTTTCTCAACACCTTAGATTACTGATAGTAACTCTTTAGCACATCTCATCCGATTTTTACAACTCGTGGAAATTCTCTCTGCTCAACTGTTGCATCACCACGGCCATCATCTGCAACTGGGTCGGCATGCTTGGCTTCGTTGCTTGGCCAACAAGCACATTCATAGAGCGGATTAAAGGGTTTATGATATCACATTATGACCTGGATCCGACTCAAAAGGAGACTTGTTGGAATTTGGATGAAGGTATGGCAGGTCATTTTATGTAATATAAAACTCGTTTTGCGAACCTATTTCTGTTAGTGTTGTTCTGAAAAATCGCAGCGAACAATTCATGAATTTTCAGTCTGTATCGTTACCGAAGCTCATCCTCATCATTGAAAGCATTTCTTTAATAGCAGTGCTCGGTACGATAGGATCATTTGTGCGCTTGGAGGATCGAGCTATGCCTGAAGGAAGAATACAATGAGTTCGAAAACAGTTAAGGTGCACCGACAAACCCTTGGCATGCCCGTCGTGCAGGCATATCTAACGGTCTTGTTTCGATCACTCTTGGCTTTTTGGCTGATTGCGCAAAGGAGACGGTCCTCAACCAGGGGCGATCTTGAATATAAATCTCTGCCGTGTGGGTCAACTTTGAATAAAAAGCCAATCCCTAATAGAGCCACAGTACACCGTGGAAAGCGCGACACTGGACTAAACGTCGACAGGATTTTCACTCGACCATTAGTCGCTTACCATGCGTAGAAGTAAGATGCGAGAGTGAACATCCGCGCGGAGAACACAGACGGCACGCCCATGGCGAGTGTGAATGTCCGCACGAGAGATCGTGTCTGACCGGGCAGAGATTCCTCGACGTGCCGGTTGAGAATCCTCAAGCGATATTCACCCTGGGGGAGCGCGCCATCGCCTATTTCATGGTTGATACCCTATGTAGTGTGGTGTTTGAAAGATCATACGCTGAATTGATGAACAAGGTTGATCAAAAATATTAGGTTGTCTCATAATTAGTGAATCACTTTGGGTATTTTTGAATTTTTTTTTTTTCATTCGAGTCCTTGCTCATCCAAACATACACCTCTGTCATCTACAATGTATTGCCTATACATGGGAATTTAATCGCTGTCTTTCCTCTGAAATTGCAGGAGCACTTGAACGAAGAAAGACCGGAAGTCGAGGTCATGTCACTTAGCGCAAAATTTCTTCCTGGAGAAGAGCGCTAGAGCTCAGACTGGGTTGTCTTTTGTTGGCACGAGGATAGGGCTACACGGCGGAGGTGGAAGAACTGCTAGCCTGGGAGTCTCCAATTTTTTATGAATATTCTCCGCGAGGTGGAGCCGAATTGAGGGTCCTGATCACGAATATGACATCCATTTTTGGCGCTGGCGCCAATTTGGCGCCATTTGGCGCCAGGTTTTGCCACGACTGATTCCCACCAAATTCGCTGTAAACTTGTGTATAGGGTTATTTCGAGCCTTGATTACGACTATGACATTCTTTTCTACATTTGCGTTGTTTAACGTGATTTTGTGATCTAACCGGTGAAAGGGCGCAGACGGGCGGGAAACAATTCACGTCTCCAACATGTTTTTGGATTTCTCATAGCAATAAATGTAAAGTGAGTCACTATTTGTACAACCTAATATTTTCATCCGCAGTGGTAGGGAGCCCGATTGAATGCTTTTATAATAGCAAGACGGAGAAGAAGACAAGGGTTTTTTTTCAAAATCTATTTCACTCTTCGATTTATCGACTCTTGCTCAATTTCCAATTTCAATAGCTGAACCCTTCAACATCTCAACCTCCAACGCAGCTCTTTCAAGGGCTACGGGGGTCGTATCAGGCTATTCATTGCTTTATGTGGAAAGGTTCAATGGTGAGCTGTGCTCTCCGGTTTTAGTCAGTTGATCCATTTCAGACTGCGTGCCCGGCGCTACTTCTCCATGCACCTTTATTTTCGATTTGTGTGCTACTATTCGCCGGTCTCGAAAGCCCGTTAACATTGAGTTATTTCATTAGCGTTCTTATGTCGTTGTTTCCACTGTTCTCCGCAATCATTATGATGTCGTTTGTGAACGCTTACCGGAACTTCATACTTATTACGTTGCGACTTAAGAAGCCACCCCGAAAGTCTTCTGTAGCCACTGTTAATATGACTACTACCACTGTTAATAGGTCGTGTCGACAGTCAATAGCTGCAAATTTTGCAACATTGTGAGCTCACTCGATAGGTTTTCATAATAAAGTTGTCATTTATTAGTTTGAATATTTCTGGGTGGTGTGTTTGGTGACCTAAGTCCGTTAAGTCTTAAGTTGGCTGTCGCCGAGTAGGCCTAACAGCATCTAGCTGTAAATCTCGAATGTTTTGACGTCGGAGCTATGTGTCGAAAAACAGGATTCTAGTTCACAACGATGATGCGAAGTTGATCAGGAAAAATGAGGAGGACGAGCTCGACGACAAGGATATGATCCTGTATCCAGGGTCAACCGTCACGTTCGAACATTTTCGGGATTTTTGCGACCCCCTAGCTCTCGAGTTGCGACCCCCTGTTTTTGTTAATAAGAGTGCTAGACATGAATCCGTTGCGCCAGAAAGCGTCTGCATTGCGGCGTCAGCCTTGGAGCGCGGCAGGTATCACCCGGGCGCTGGAAGAACGGGACGCGGCGCGAAGAAAAAATTTTAGAGGGGAATAACTTTCTTGGGACGTACTTTTTGAGGCTGTTGCAAGTAATTTGACGTGCTGAGTGCGCTACTCAAAAACCACAAGAATTGCTACTCTCCAAATGGGTACTTCTGTTGAAATGGAATAATTCAGAATTTTGTGTGCTAAAAAGGCGCACAATCCAACTTAAGGCCATAAATCCTCGAACGACATTTTGGAAATCTCTGAAGAAAGTTTCAGAAACATCAAATATTTCTCTAACAAAACAGTATAAGAAAGTTAGGTTGTCCCCTTTTTCAAAAAAATGTCCCGTTCGAACATTTTTCGTGCAAAAGCGAGTTTTTGGGCTTTCAGCGACCATAACTCACTTCATTTTCATTTCTGTGATGCACTTTTTTCATGGGGTGAAAGTACAGGATTTGCTCTTTCTGAAAAGCACCCACCAAACCGTTTTTCAAAATCCATTTTCCGAGAAAATCACACGTTCGAACATTTTGTTCCCATAGGTTTTTGAGCAGCACATGCGAGTTTTTGAGCTTTCAGCAATAATAACTTCCTTCAAAGAACTTGTTGGGGAGGGGCGAAGATTTTTGAAGACTACGAGATTTCTGCTTTCTTATATGTTTTACCGTTGTCTGGAAGAATCGTCCTCAGAAAATCAGGTCCCGAAGAACTTAAATTTCAGCCCCGAGAAGTCACACCTTTCATAGGGATGCACAACCCGGCCGTATTAAAACACCGTAATTTGCCTAAAACTGTCTCTCTGTGCATAATAATCGAATCTAATGCGGTCTGCACAAACAATTCTTGCCCTCGGATACGCCACGCACGCGCCTGTGGCTGGCAGTCCTCGAAATTGCGACCCCCTTCCGACCAAAATGCGACCCCTTCGTTCGAACAGTTCGAACGGACGGTTGACCCTGGAAGCATCTTCTTCTTCTAATAATATGTACTGTATGACTCTGTACATAAAGCCATCCTGTTGAAAATTATCCTTCATTATGTACGCGGTCACAAGCAACACATCAACTCACCTGTGCTGCTATAAACTCGGCGTTCCTCTTGTAGAAAGCATACATGAAGTGACTCCCCCAGCGATCACTAATGGCGTTCGTGCGTTGTTGTTCTTGTGTGCACACTATAAGAGTGTTGTCTGCTATTGAAGAACCATCGAATGGCCACTCTTCTCATAGGATCGATATAACATATGTCACAGAAATGGAAATGGACGTGGTCGTTTTACACATTGCATATATATTTTTTGTCAGCAGTTACGTCATTATAAATATAAGCCAATAATGTAGTGTATTCCTTTGTATGACCTGTCGTTGTGCCTCTTTGTCCATCTTTGTCGATCCATGAAGGTTGCTTTGATTGGAACTAGAAGATTTGATGATACTGCTTCAAAGAATGGCTGTGATTATGACAACGAAATGCTTGAAGTGTTCGAATTGCTACACATCACACGATTCGTTAATACTTCGACTAATGTGGGCTACGCACCAGCATCTGAGTTTAGCGATTTTTTCAGTTGTTCGTTTGTTGAATAGTACGCAAATCGCGCGATTCGTAGCAAATCATCGCAAACTTACTTACATCGCTAACTTAGAAATTACAAAAGGCGTATCATATGCAGGCAGGAGAGGCTCTGATGATTGTTCAAGGGCAGAAAATGGTATTATAACACAGGAAACAACGAGAAAGTTTGACTGTGCTGCCTAGTAGAAACTGTAGGTTTCAAAGCATCGATCAAATTTGGCTTGCCGCAAAAATTTCGCGCTCTTCGGGTTAAGTTAGTGGGGAATATTCGTGGAAAGGAATCAAAGGCACGTGAGGTGAATAGACCGAGTCAACAGTTCGTAGTTACCAGTGGGTTTCACATGATATTTGCCTACATTAATCATGCTGCAATACCGAAGAGCTGGGGTGTCAGGTCGGCAGTCTAGTCAGAGCTCACTTCCGTATGTACGGTCGCTGCAACACAGCATGTTCTTCTTCTTCGGACGTAACATCTCGTGGATAACCCTGCCCATTGGGGTGCATACCCTACCCAACTGAGGTAATGACCTCCTTCCGTTGTAGGGCTCTACCTTCCCGGTCTCCGGACTTCTTGAAACCGAATTATGAGGATTTGTAATAAACAGGGCCCACGTGAGGAGACGCTCCACCCAATGTGGGCAGGCTCCCGCTCCGTTTAAGTATGCCGACACCACAGATACTGCTCTTCTGATTCTATCTTTGCCTGATCCATTGCCTTTCTCCTCACCGAGATATGAATTTTTTGATGAAGCACGGCCTATTCAGAGAGCACTCCGCGCATCGTGAGTCGTAATAACTTCGTATAGTCACTATAAACTCAGTGCACACCTTTACCCATTCTTTTCGGTCTTTGGGCTCTTGTACAACCGAACTGGAAACTTCTGCCGCCGCACCGCCCAATATAGCGCGTGCCCCGCCCACTGTGAGCGGAGTTCCACTCAGCTGGTATGTGTTACATCTTGACCCATGCTCCGCCCATCCCAGACTTGACCCGGACTCTCTAGGTGTTTCTTCACGTAGTGCCGAATTTCGTGACAAGCACCCACAAACGACACACCACACCCACACAGACAACCAGAATTTCATGACCTGTTGTTAGCGAAATGATGATGATCGGCTTGCGGTGACAATTTCCGCAAAAGCCTCGCAATTTTTTTTACTGAAGTATCGTGCCTTTTCTGATCACATCTTGAGTAAATGCTTTTTGGCAGAAGATTGCCCCTTTCAAAGATACTACTCCAGAATTTTTACAGACAGCATCTAATGC